GGGGTGTTTGTTCACTTATAACATATATATGTTTTTAAACAGGCACCGTCGAGACTTCCTGGCATAAGTTTCACTGAACGGTATCTGTATACACAGGATTTGGATTCTTAAAGTAAAAACATCTGTTACTGCTGATCTTTTTTGATCAGTAATCATTATGGGAGTTGTTGTGCATCAATGATAGGGTTACAACGTGTCCGGTTTTCGACCAGAAAGTCCGGTTGAAAAGGGGACCTGGCAGCGTCCGGTCAGACGTACTGACCGGACACCAAATGTCCAGTTACTGTGGGCAAGGGGGAGGTGCTGGGTCATCAACTCCCACCAGTCCCCGTTCAGCGGGGGCTGCCTACTACCTGCAAGCAGGCAGGCTCTGTGTCAGGCTGCGGCTCCTGTCCCAGCCCCAGAGCAGAGGGAGCCCAGTGAGCGATGGCAGGAGGGAAGGGAGGGGAGCTCGAGGGAAGAGGCAGAGCAGAGGGGTCCCATTTTCAGACATTAGAAAGTTGCAAACACTAATCAATGACCTTATCTTTTTGTAGTCACCAATATGTGCTGCTATTTCTATTACAAACCCTGATTTCCAGAAATTAGTACCATAGCAAAGCTGTCAAATGCATTTTGACATAACTTGTGAGACAGGTCTGTTAGCTTTTATGTTACAAGAGTAACTGTTAGTTCCCAAGCTGTCCTCCAAGCTATTTTTGTTTTGAAATTGACTCACCTGTGCAATGCATAGGCAAATCAACATCACCTTATTAGATGGCATCAAAAGCTGCTGACAGCTCGAACAGTATCTGCATGGACTCTACCTGATCTTCATCCATCACTAGGAGATTGTACTTCTTGCATTGGTAGACTTTCAGTTCCATACCCAGCTCTGTATTCAGACTGGCAAGGACCAAGGTGATTGAGGCAACAATTGTCTTACTATAACCTTCTCTGTAATCTTAACCAAAAAAGGAAGAAGCAATATTGGTCAACCATTAGCAAGACCCTCAGCATCAGTATTGGTTTCCTGAGCAGAGGATGCACCAGAGCTTCTTAAAAAGAAGCTGGCACCCTACCCTCCCTAATGAAGGTATTAATCTCCACCAGCATTGGATCCAGTACTTTCCTCACTGGCCTTCACTAGCCAAAAAGAATATGGATCCAAAGGGACAGTACTGGGATAGAGTACACACCACATCTCTAGTTTGAAGATATTGATGGGGCACAAGTCTGACTGCTTTTGTGATAAAGTAGATGCAAACCTCTTACAGACTTCAGTATTCAACACTGCATTGCTTTATTCTCACCTAGGCACCCTTACTACATACCACTGGCTCATATTTATAGCCAGGGTAATTGAGAACAATTTTCAGATTCTACTGAGTCTGATCTTTATATCCACGTGAAATGCCATTCAGTTGATCCAGGACTTCTAGTAAAAACAATGCTAGGGATCCTCAGTTTTGAAATATCCAAAATATATGTTTAAAATAGCACACTGATGCAATTATTTCATCACCATTTTGCCATACATTAGTACCTGGGAAATGTAAGTCTCTGAAGACATTTCAAATACCAAGAGACACAAAACTTTGAACTGAGGTGCGGTCTCTAACTTTCAAGATGAAACTTTCCTCTTCTCTTTAGCTTATGGCTGCTTCTCATTATAGTATGTTAAAATACAAACGCACAAAGGATATAGGACCTAAACATATTTTTACGGTAAATCTAAACACAATGCAAGTCTATGGAGACAATATTAGCATTCAAACACGTACTGTGGAAGACTACAGCATACAGTAAGAAATGAGGAAGAGAAATCTGTTGTGACTTACTAAAATTGAGAATTCAAAGTAAAATTTAACACTCAAAGAGGAAGAAAATAGTAAGTTAAGCCTGTTCTTCACTCCCAACTCTTCTACAATGTCCCTGCAGACACACAGAGCCCGCCTTCTGGCCATAGATTTCCTAGTAATAAGCTGCTTCTACATGAAACCCATTTACGGCATACAATAATTACTTGAGGCAAGAAGACCCCATTCCTGAGCAAAGTTTTAATTGATAAATACGAAGAAATATATCACTGCCAATTCTTACCGACAAATTGCACTCAGTGCCAGTATCACTCAGTGGTGATACTGGTACTCAGCTACCTAGGAATAGCCCTGGAGAATAACCCCTAAACCAGTAGGCATTGACTAAAACTAACTCTGGGACCCAACATGAGTCATGCCAGCAAGTGAGTATTATCACAGGTTGACAGAGAAGAGAACACTACATGGTCCTGACCAACCCTATCCCCAATACATCAGGAACCTCTCAATACCTCTGACCGGCTTTAGCCTGTCAGGACCATACATGAACATAGTTACACATACATCATGTTGTCGGTCTGTTTTCTTGGAACCATGCTGAATACCTGATAAGTATACATTCTCTTCACTGGAGGCCTCTTGTCCAGCTTCCCCAATGGGCTATATTCCCTCCTGCTGACAGGTTTTCCATTGGAGATTCCCCCACAGGTTTCCCCAATAAGCTTAATGAAACCCTACCTCCTTGTAAATACTTCCTAGAGTCTGTAGCTGAACCCTCCACAAATTTAGTTTCCCTAACTGGAAGTTTTCCTATTGTCCACTGAAACCTCTTAGCCCCAAAAGCTCAGTTCACTGTCCTACAAGCAAACTTCTATCAGTGAGCACAGAAAGATTTAACATCTGCCCTACTTAACTAATGTGATTAGGTATGACATGACTTCCAGTTTATATGCAGCCGGTTCCTTTTATCTTGGGCAGTAGGAAGTGGCAGCCAAAAAAAAGCACTAACAAAAACCTGCACAAGTAACAATAAAAGTGAACCCAAGCTTGTAGGAAATCCACAAACCTGTCAATGTTAAAACAAACATATGCCAAAACACTCAAACATCAGATACAAGTGCCTTTGCATAATAGCTGTGAACTAGAATAAGTGTAATTTCTGCAGACAGACAGACCCCACCCTCTGACCACAGGTTTCCTAGTAATAAGCTGTTACTGCATGAAACCCATTTATGGCATACAAGTAACACACACAGATACATCCAGTATGTGACAAACAGAATGTCACAGAACTTTGCTAACGTGAATAAGAGATTACTTTATCTGGAAGCGTTAACTCACAATACTACCATTCCACCCTGCAGTGTCTGTTTAAAAAGAAATCCAGTATTAAGAGCAATGTCGGACTACCCTACTTAACTGTGCCCAATAGCCACAGACAAGAAAGATCAGCCCATAACAACAAAGGTCCCCTGATACAATGACACATTAGGAAAGTTCACTTTTGTTAAAGCAAGCCTTTTTCAGAGGTTCTTTCAAATATCCTTAAATATGCTAAAAAGCCAAACCTGAAGTTAAATTTGGTGGGATAAAAACTGTGCGGGGGGTGGGGCGGAGAAGAGAAGGTTATACCAAGAGAAGTACCCTTCTCCCGACCGGCTCACATACTTAAGCCTTGTCTACACTTGTGGCGGCATGTAGTGTACATGTAGCTACATGCCACGGCAAAGGCTCTCATGGCAGTGAGGAAAGGCTCCAGTAGCTCCCCCTTCCACAGTCTTTCACTGTAGCATAGAAGTTGGAGGCACTGGTTGGGCGTGTAAAGAGCCAAACAGGATATACACCCTATGGTTCTGTCATGTCTGTACTCTACTCATATGAGCAGTGCTTCATCACCTACACACTTATTTATATCTATGCTAACTGGGCATTCAGTGTCTGTACCAGGGGTAGGCAACTTATGGCACATGTGCCAAAGGCGGCACACGCGCGCTAATTTTCAGTGGCACTCACACTGCCTGGGTCCTGGACACCGGTCCGGGGGGCTCTGCATTTTAATTTAATTTTAAATGTTTAAGAAGCTTCATTTAAAAAACCCTATTTACTTTACATACAACAATAGTTTAGTTATATATTATAGACTTATAAAAACAGACCTTCTAATAATGTTTAAATGTATTACTGGCACGCGAAACCTTAAATTAGAGTGAATAAATGAAAACTCGGCACACCACTTCTGAAAGGTTGCCAACCCCTGGTCTGTACCCTACATGCCTCAATAAATGGAGATATAGACTTAGAGGACGTATTTCACTTTTGACATAGGAATTACAGTCTGTTTATATCATGATTTGACTGCCTTAAGAGTAGCTAGTTTTTCTAAAGTATGCAAATACAAGCACACACTGCAGGGAATTCAGAGATAAGTAACATTGGTGATTTAATCTTTCTTCCTATGTAATAAATAAAGATTACTTTAAATATCCATTAAAAAGGAATAATATATCTAGTTATTTTAAAACATTGTCTGCCGTTTCTACTACAGATCTCACATAACTATTATATTTTTATCTATAATTATGTATATCTGCTTGAAAGTTATGGCTGCTATAGGTTTCAGTTCTCAGAATTTGCTGAATCTAATTCAATGACTGAAAGGGACCTGGGAATCAAAAAACGGAAGAGCATCACTTTCCCTGATGTAACAGGCTGATATATTTTTAGAAATAAAAACAACTGTAGAAGAACTTTGGATACATTACACACCTAATTATAAAACAGTTGATTTAAACATTCACAGAATGAAATCACAGGGTTAATTTTTAAAAACACTGTAATTTGTACCAAATAGCTTGAGTCCATATTGCATTTTCATTTACAATTATGTAATAGGAAAGCTATAGCTTGGCTTCATCTCCAAAACATGATAAGTCTACATAAAAACTGAAAGATACTATTAATGAAGAGAAGGAAACATTTAGGGTAATAGAAAAAAAACGGAGCAGATGAAGTGCGTCTTAACAGAAAGGTCAATCAGGCTGCAAAATAGTCTCCCACTGAATGCGATAGAAACTCATCAGTGCTGTTCTCCAGAAGCAGACAAGTATTTTCCAACCAGATTACTTCATCCCTTTCTCTGCCTTTTAAAAAAAAAAAAAAAAAATTACAATAAAGACATACAAAAGTTAGTTGACCACTTACTGAACTTCTCTGAATATCTTGCTCAACTTTTGAGGAGAATACTGAAAGGTCTCCATTAAGAATAACCTCAGCCAGCGAGTTCACCAGAGGTGCATAATGTATAATCAGGAAAACCTATTAAGAGGGGGAGGGAGAAAAGAATGTTAGACATACAATTTTAGACACTGTAGGCATTTTCCCCACCTAATTAAATCCTTAAATTTCTTTATGTTACATAATGTCTAATAAAAAACCCAAACTGGGATATACTTGAGCTATAATTAGTATTCGGGAGGAACACAGACCACAGTCCCTTTCTACATCAAATTAATCTCCCTTTCCCTGAATTCCAAACCTGATTGATAGTCTACTTGGCCAGTGTTCACAAGTTTCCTTTTATCCTCTTCCAGCTAAGCACTATGTATTCCTCCCCATTTATTTTAAGAAACATGAAGATTCTATAGCATTCGCCTACAGTCAACCCATTTCATAGAAATCTGTTATTGGAGAAAGCCAGGACAGTTAAGTGATTGTGGTACATTATATCCATAGGCCTTGTGGTATGGGAACACCTAGCAATATCCCATGCATAATATTTTACAAAAGCATAGCACAAGATTTGCTTGATGGAGAAAGTTGTGGGTGAAGTTCTATGGCCTGTGTTTATGATCTAGACTGACATCCTGCAGAACAGTCCCTTCTGGCCTAAAGATTTAAGACTTTTCAACAGTGTAAGAACATTTTTCTTAATAGTTGTTTTTCAGCGAGAGGTATCTGGCAAGTCTCAATGTCAACAGTCAACAGTGTAACGCTGTTGCAAAAAAAGCAATCATCATTCTGGGATATATTAGCAGGAGCATTGTAAGCAAGACACAAGAAGTAATTCTTTTGTAACTGTCAGGGTGGTTAAGCAAAGGAATAAATTGCCTAGAGAGGTTGTGGAGTCTCCATCATTGGAGATGTTTAAGAGCAGGTTAGACAAACACCTGTCAGGAATGGTCTAGTTTTATGATTCTATATAATGTAGGAATAAGCTCAGTGTAATGTAGGAATAAGGCTCCAACGTTTTCAACATTTAAGCACTTAGGTCAGGGGTCGGCAACCTCTTGCACGCGGCTCGCCAGGGTAAGCATCCCTCGCCCGCGCTGCTTCCCGCAGCCCCAATGGGCCTGGGACGGCGAACCGCGGCCAGTGGGAGCTACGATTGGCTGAACCTGCCGACGCGGCAGGTAAACAAACTGGCCCGGCCCGCCAGGGTGCTTACCCTGGCGAGCCACGTGCCAGAGGTTGCTGACCCCTGCAATAGGTGCTACAGAAAAACCTAAAATAAATTCCGCCGTAGTTGTGCTAGGTGAAAGAGACAAAAACAGTTTGAGTCACCAGCACCCTGTGTTCACTGTTTGAACACATCTGCTTACAGAACATGATATTACCAGGCCTTCAAATGGAAAGGGGGAACCTTGGACTTCCTATTTTGCAATGATGGGCTAGAACCCATATAAATCCCCTTCAGAATTTCATAGCAATATGCTCTCAAAGATTAACTCTGAGGTACCCTTTAGAAGTAACTCAGGAACTTAAGGCAGTGGCCTGCCTACTCACAAGAATGCCCTGACATAAAACTACATTACAACTGTGCTTTGGGAACAGCAGTGGCTTCCCATCTGCTGTTGGATGCAATTCAAGTTGTTGGTTCTAATTTACAAAGCTGTTCATTATATAGAGTATCTGGTATGCCAGTGGCCATCTCTGTGTATGCAACACTGATGGCAGAAATCACTAAAGTGGTTTTCTTAACAGTTACTTAATGTGTACTCTTCAAAACGAGATTATTTCAGTGGAGGAACCTGGCTGTCCAGCTTCCACTTTGTCAGAGGAGATATTTATTGACCTATAGAGATCTATTTCAGGAATCCTTCATCAAGCCTTTGCTTCACTACAGACCATCGAGATATTAATTAACAACTTAATGGTGATTGAGGAGGTATAGCTTGGGAAGCGGTTCTCTCATATGTGAGTAGTTCCTATAATCCTGAATTTGTACTGACAGATACTATCACAATGAAAGCATAACAAACAGGGATTGCATTTTACAATTTATACTCAAGTCAGATGGACCAAGTTGTAGCACAAGACTGAGACCATACTAACGATATGCAATATAGTAGAACCATAAAGGAAGAGTTTTGCTGCATTAACTACTCAGCATCTTGATACCAACGTGGAAATATACTATTCAAAGTTATGAATAATGTTCTGCCCCTAGATACGCACATTTGATTCTCAATGATTAGAAAGAAATCCCTACCATCGGCGAAGGTAGCGTCTACACTAAAGCGCTGCAGCTGTGCCACTGTAGCGTTTTAAGAGTAGACAAGCCCCAGATATGATGAAATAGGCCCAATGAGCTGCTGAGCAAAGCTGGGTGACGTTTTTTGGATAAATAATTCAATCCCGGAGAACTACAGTTTCAGTCAACCCAAAACTATTGTAAATTTGACACAAAAATTGTTTGGGCTAGATTCACAAGAGGGCTTAGGTGCCATTCACAAAATGGCTAGAGGACCCAGTGCCTCCTTTATTACCTTCAGCTAAGTAGTTAAAGTGGTTACCTGGAATGTGAGACACCCAGGTTAAATCCCTTCCCCCCCCCCCCCCCCACCTGATGCAGAGCAGGGACATGAATTTGGAATCAGAGTTCACAATTCTAAGGAGGGGTAGAAGGGAGTACAGCAAAATAGAGACAATGGATTTCAGGAAGGCGGATTTTGGTAAGCTCAGAGAGCTGATAGGTAAGGTCCTAAGGGAATCAAGACTGAGGAGAGTTAGCAGTTTTTCAAAGGGACACTATTAAAGGCCCAAAAGCAAGCTATTCTGCTGGCTAGGAAAGATAGAAAATGTGGCAAAAGACTACCTTGGCCTAACCATGAGATCTTGCATGATCTAAAAAATAAAAAGGAGTCATATAAAAAATGGAAACTAGGACAAATTACAAAGGATGAATATAGGCAAACAACACAGGAATGGAGGGGCAAGATTAGAAAGGCAAAGACACAAAATGAGCTCAAACTAGCTACAGAATAAAGGGAAACAAGAAGACTTTTTATCAATACATTAGGAGCAAGAGGAAGACCAAAGACAGGGTAGGCCCACTGCTCAGTGAGGAGGGAGAAACAGTAACAGGAAACTTGCAAATGGCAGAGATGCTTAATGACTTCTTTGTTTCGGTCTTCACCGAGAAGTCTGAAGGAATGCCTAACATAGTGAATGCTAATGGGAAGGGGGTAGGTTTAGAAGATAAAATAAAAAAAGAACAAGTTAAAAATCACTTAGAAAAGTTAGATGCCTGCAAGTCACCAGGGCCTGATGAAATGCATCCTAGAATACTCAAGGAGCTAATAGAGGAGGTATCTGAGCCTCTAGCTATTATCTTTGGAAAATCATGGGAGACGGGAGAGATTCCAGAAGACTGGAAAAGGGCAAATATAGTGCCCATCTGTAAAACGGGAAATAATAACCCAGGAAACTACAGACCAGTTAGTTTAACTTCTGTGCCAGGGAAGATAATGGAGCAAGTAATTAAGGAAATCATCTGCAAACACTTGGAAGGTGGTAAGGTGATAGGGAACAGCCAGCATGGATTTGTAAAGAACAAATCATGTCAAACCAATCTGATAGCTTTCTTTGATAGGATAACGAGTCTTGTGGATAAGGGAGAAGCGGTGGATGTGGTATACCTAGACTTTAGCAAGGCATTTGATATGGTCTCACATGATATTCTTATCAATAAACTAGGCAAATACAACTTAGATGGGGCTACTATAAGGTGGGTGTATAACTGGCTGGATAACCGTACTCAGAGAGTAGTTATTAATGGTTCCCAATCCTGCTGGAAAGGTATAACAAGTGGGGTTCCGCAGGGGTCTGTTTTGGGACCAGCTCTGTTCAATATCTTCATCAATGACTTAGATATTGGCATAGAAAGTACGCTTATTAAGTTTGCAGAGGATACCAAACTGGGAGGGATTGCAACTGCTTTGGAAGATAGGGTCACAATTCAAAATGCTCTGGACAAATTGGAGAAATGGTCTGAGGTAAACAGGATGAAGTTTAATAAAGACAAATGCAAAGTGCTCCACTTAGGAAGGAACAATCAGTTTCACACATACAGAATGGGAAGAGACTGTCTAGGAAGGAGTACGGCAGAAAGGGATCTAGGGGTTATAGTGGACCACAAGCTAAATAGGAGTCAATAGTGTGATACTGTTGCAAAAAAAGCAAACATGATTCTGGGATGTATTAACAGGTATGTTGTGAGCAAGACACGAGAAGTCATTCTTCCGCCCTACTCTGCACTGGTTGGGCCTCAACTGGAGTATTGTGTCCAGTTCTGGGTACCGCATTTCAAGAAAGATGTGGAGAAATTGGAGAGGGTCCAGAGAAGAGCAGCAAGAATGATTAAAGGTCTAGAGAACATGACCTATGAAGGAAGGCTGAAAGAATTGGGTTTGTTTAGTTTGGAAAAGAGAAGACAGAGAGGACACAATAGCAGTTTTCAGGTATCTAAAAGGGTATCATAAGGAGGAGGGAGAAAACTTGTTCATCTTAGCCTCTACGGATAGAACAAGAAGCAATGGGCTTAAACTGCAGCAAGGGAGGTTTAGGTTGGACATTAGGAAAAAAGTTCCTAACTGTCAGGGTGCTTAAACACTGGAATAAATTGCCTAGGGAGGTTGTTGAATCTCCATCTCTGGAGATATTTAAGAGTAGGTTAGATAAATGTCTATCAGGGATGGTCTAGACAGTATTTGGTCCTGCCATGAGGGCAGGGGACTGGACTCGATGACCTCTCGAGGTCCCTTCCAGTCCTAGAATCTATGAATCTTCCAGGCGAATGCGCTAACCACTGGGCTAGAGTCATTCTCAGTACATACATCCTATCTCTGGCCAATTTTTATTCAAGACATTTAGTTCACCCCAAAATGAAATTTCTCAAATTTCACTTGGCTGGTTTGTGTGTTTTTTTTTTTTGTTTTAAAAAAAAATCTTTTCAGAACGGTTAGTGAACTGAAAAATTATTGACTCTCTCTAATGCTGAGTACTTCTCAATACTCCCATTTACATGAGGTAGATTAGAGAGCTCAAAGCATCTCATAAGAGGCATTTAGTGACTTAACAAGGCTGATTCCCTTAGTTTCAAGTGATTGCTACAATAAGGTTTCATTTCTGAGGTCACTAAACCTAACTCAAATTGAAAATGATGTGGGAAACAGAAACTTAGCAGCACTGCAGTGTTTCCTTCCCTGAGGCAACAAAACAGGTGGAAATGTCTACAATGTCTACAAATCGTCATAAAGCAATCAACCTGGGAGGATACCCCCACTTATAAAAAGTCTGATTTAAGAATTCATAGATTTAAAAGTAAGTCATTTTAAAATATCACTTCTAGCAGAAATCTCAAGTCAATAATGTGTTTTGACCTAAATGTATATATTTATTTAAGAATGTAAATGTATTGAGCATGTACATGAAGTATGCAGGTAGGCTAATATTTAGCTGACAGAATAAGCTTTTTTCAATCTCTAGGGTAAACAGCAATAATCCGAAGAACAAAAATGAGCATTTGGCATTTTCAAGAACTTTTATTTAACTATATATTTCACCACTCACTTAAAAATTCCCAATTTAGAAGAAGTTTATGGTGGCACTCTGATCTATTGTAAAGTTACCTAACTAAGATGTGTGCAATCCATAATGGCATTTTCAATTGTCAGAACATCTGCTCAGTATTCAGCCACTCAATTTTTATTTTTGTAAATACAAGAAAGCTGATCACGTTTCATGAGACATAAAACAAAAGGACTCCCTTCTTGTAATTAAAGATCCCACAACATTTTGCACAAGAGTAAGAGATTCAAAATCCTAATTTCTGTATGTACTAGTCAAATTGAAATTTGGAATGCTGTATTCTGCCTGTAATTACAGTTGAATACCGTATTCTTCATTTCAGTCCTAACTTGTCGTACAATGCTGTTGTGCAATGTTTAACAGCTGCTGCATTCCACTCAAGAGGTGGCTGCATTAAACTGGTGAGTTAAGGGATTGTTACATCTCAAAATATCTGCCTTTTACTGGTGTTCTAAAGATTTAATTAGGTAAAGTTTGTAAAGTATTCCGAGAACCTCCAAGGAAAGGTACTAGTAAGTAAAGAGTAGTAGTTGGCCCATGTGATGACCAGTGAGCTAATGATTTAAAAAATAAATATACAAGTGTCCCTTAAATGTACACACTGCACCTCAAAACTGAGCACAATTCTCTCCAGCTGAAAAATAGCCCCCTAAAACACACAATTTATAATTAAATTACTGAGACCATTACAAACACCACATTGAAATGTGACATACTTGTGAGAGAAGATAGAGAGAAACTTGGAGACTTATTTTTGGACGCTCCCCACCCTATGGAAGAAAGAAAAGAATGCCCAGTTAATTACAGAAAACTAAGGTAATTACAACATTAAATAGAACAAAGGCCAACATTTTTAAAAATAGAAGAATGTAAGTATAAACACTTGATTTATTCATGTGCACTACCTCCCCACTTCCCCCAATGCTACTAAGTTCCAAGGAATATGCTGACATTTTCCAGTGACTTTCCATTTCTTTGGAAAAGGATTTCAGAAGAATGCATTTTTCATTTGCTGCACGCTTGAAAATATGGCTGCACATTGTTTTTGAAGCCAAAGCTTCCTGTAATATTTATTTTTACCAGATGCTTAAGTGAAAAGTACATTTTTATCCCTCCAGCATATCCTTACCAGATGGTACTTATGAAATGGCAAATTAATAAAAGGAGGCTCTTACAATTTGTTATTCCACAGAATCAATTAAATAAGACCAATAAAAGTTTTACTGGAGTTGTTGACATTCAGTTGTTGGATTCAAGTAGGTAATTCTGGCTTCACAGGCATTTTCTCTCCATAATCAGAACACAATAAATGCTTATAGAATGACAATACTTTAAAATCTCCATTAAAATTAGAATAATCTGATTTCTGAAAGAACCACTAACACCACAGAAAAGAGAACTATTTACAATATTTACAGTCTCTTTTGTCTGAAGCATGTTGTTTTAAGTCACTAGAGATATTTGCATATTTTTGCATTATAAGACATGGAAGGAAACATGGCTGAAGCACAAGACTGGAAGTCATAAAATCTGGATTATACGTACCTCTACCACTAACTCACTGTTTAAAATGAAGATAATTACTTAACCCAGAAGGGGATATGACAGGTTAAATTAACATATTAAAAACACTAAGATCTTTGATGGCAGGCTCCATAGAAATGCAAAGTACGATAAATCTTCAGAGATGTCACACAATTATGACAAGGATAAAAAATACATGAGGATCACAAGACACATGCAATTACCACGGAGATAGGCGCTGTATAAGAACCTGGATTAGATGGAATTTAAGCAAACTTTTCATCTGTTCCATACAGTAGATAGTAAGTCTGATTCTGCTCCTTTTAATCAGTGACATGTTTTTTTAAAAAAAAAAAAACCACTGAAATTAGAAAAATCAGACTGGAGGCATGGATTTGAGAATTTTATAAGTAACAGAGATCCTGTTTTCAATCTTAAAGTTTACTTTTTTAAAAAGCATCTTTCTGATACAATTATACTGGCCTTTTAAAACATATTTCAGAGAAATTTAGGCCCAGACCTGAACTTACCGCTTCTGTCCCTACTGCTAACATTAAATGCTAAACAATGGTTAACAACTACAATTGACTCTAAATGTTTAACAACTACATGGGCTAATGTATGAGAGTCTTTACCTAGGTTCATATATTCCTAAAACAGCATCTCCAGGGCAGTCATCTTTTAATTTAAGAAAAGCAAAGACCTGAATTATTTAAACTGTTTTTCTTGTAAAGTACTTAAATGTAGAGGATATTAATTCTACTTTAGGATACACTTACTGCACAAATTACTGTAAATACTGAGTGGAAATCATTAATTATTAAGACTTAACTAATCACTAAATCATGCAAGCTATTCCTTACCTTATCTTGATTTACTAATGAATACACATAGAGAGGCAGAAACAGCCTATTAAGTAGGTGGTCTGTGAGCACATCATTTAAGAATTCACAATTAATGATAAGGATATCATTCAGATAATGCAAATGATCCAGATGTTCTGCTACCAAATCACTCAGTTTGCCTCTATTTCTGTGCCTGAAAGAGACAAAGATTTAGACATAGCTAAGGTAGAAGAACAATCAGAACTCAGTAAGATAATGTATCTGCATCTTTTTTCTGTCTTATTCCAATGCAGACATCCAAGTTACCTCCTGTAACCTTAGAGATTTGACAATCAAAATGAAGCAATTGAAGGAGAGTGTTGTCATTTTAATTGCACAATGCAACATCCACCGTGATGAGTACAAGATTTCGGTTTTCTGGAGAAGCATAAAAATCTCAGCTGCCACTTTGTACGTGCCTTTTCAGAAGCCAGTCATGAAAGGAAACATTACAATTTTGTTTTCTATTACAAAAGACTATTTAAACATCTTAAAGCGAGTAAAACTACTTATATTTCTTCTGTACTGTTCTAACCCAAGTAAAGCTTTAAAAAACTGCTCCATACATACTCAAAGAGCAAATCCAACGTGGTGATCATGAGCAACACAGCAGGAATTTTGTAGTTGACAAAATAAGAGGTTCTATACAAGTGACACATCTGCCAGTTATATTGATGGCAATGGTGTTTAAATAATTAAGTACTGAATTAACTTGGAAAGTATTTTTCTAATGATACTTTTCAGAAAACTATCCTAATGTCCAGCTTTCTGAATGTGAGTAGAGATATCTAAAGAGTCTGTGCTTTTAGTCTTATCGTTATGCAAACAGTCCTATGTATCTTCTGCATAACAATTTAGTTCATTAATAAAGTAAAGTCTATATACTTCAAACCAACTGGGATGAGGAGTAACAGGTCTCCCAACAAATCATTTATTTACAGGAATGTTAAAATTTATAAATGACTTGACAATATCCTCCTGCAATGATTTCTAACATGATCTTGTAAGAATTACAGACTTCAGGCTGCTTGTTGGTAGGATCATTTCTTGAGAAACTAACTTAAAAGGTTTTCAATGCATCTGGCAAAAAGAAATAGTTGTAGAAGCTTACTCTTCATCAGTCTGCACACAGGTATCCAGTTCTATCACATGGCTCCCAATAAACCAAACAAGGTTGGAGAAGTAGGGGACAGCAGTTTTATCTCGAATGTAGTGCAACATAGGCTGGTTGTCCACTGAAGAGAAGTTTAAAAAAAAAAAAAAAAGTTTCCAAAAGATAAATGTAAAAAAAATACAATCAACTTACCATTCTGAATTTTCATTTCATTTTTTTTTTAAACACACTCATACGCACCTGTATGGGTTTATCTTATCCATGAAATAGATGTCTTTTAAAGTTTCATAGGACAACTCTTGAAAGGCTAAATGAGCCTGTTAAAATACTAAGGTTATTTTTACATTGATCTCAGGATAGTAAGTAAATCTACTGCAGTTCAGAAAACCACACTCTACTCAAGTGAGTTTTCTTTTTAAAAAGACAAAGTGTAAGTATAAAGCAATACTGCTGAAAGCCAAACTTGTTAATAGACTTACATGACACTGCATTAAGGAACACAGGAATCATCAGTGAAGGAAGGGCAAAAAAAAAAAAAAAAAAAAGACAACAGTTAACAGGATTCGGAACTGGGATGGTGAGACATCCTCCAAAAGGGTTAAAGAGCTAAAGCAGGAAGCATCTAAACTAAAAGATACAGGTTAGAAGGTGTTAGATCAGAACATTTACACATGGATAGTCAGAAAATTAGGAAACCTGCATGTTTGATAGTTGTGTTTTTCAAATTCAACCCTCGTAGCTCTCCAACATTCAACTTAAATTCTAGGCAAGAACATCATAAAACTTTCCTTTTTATTTAGTAAATGTACACAAAGTATGAAGTGCATCATAGTTCACCGTTTCTGTAATAACTGGCTCACACACAGAAGGTTGGGTGTTAGAAGTAGAGAAAATTTGGCATGGATTTTGCTTGCTAAACACCAGAAAGGGCCACACTTTGTACTCAGTGTCCAGATACCAACAGAGCTATAAAGCATCTAAAGCAAAAATGCCTTCAGGGTTATCATGTAAATGTTGACACTGACCATCCACATTGCTTCAGAGTTTCCTTATTCAATACAGATCAAACAAGCAGCTTTTAAAACGTGGAGTAGAATTTTCTCCAGCCTTACGTTTTGTAATCAATCATTACAGTTACTTTAATGTCACATTTGCCATTTTACTTCCTCCATTAGCTTGTCTACGTCCAGTAACAGGCACATTCTATCAATTAAACTCTATACCTTTCTCATATACTGCTGAGAGCTAAAACTAATCCAATCATTTTATTATATAGCTATATACTTTACAGCTTAAACAGTAAGTTGTTGGAAGTGACGTCTGTGAGAAAAGTGTCACTATGAGGTAAAAAGCATTGTGTTTACTTTGTACCTAAAAGTTCACTAGAAAATAGAAATTTTTGACTAGTCATTTTTCAGTCCATGCACAACTACAACATCCATTGATTTATAGCAAGTTTTGCAAGTCAGTTTCATATTGGTGTTATGACAGTTTATTTCCAAATTAATATTAAATTCCTCTTTTAGATTTTTAATATAAAAGCAGTGTAAAAATTGAAATAAAACTTTAATTAAAAAGGCAACTGCAGGATAAAAACCCCTATATGAATGCACATTACCATACAGAGTACCAGGGCCGGCTCTGGCTTTTTGGCCGCCCCAAGCAAAAAAAAAAAACAAACAAAAAAAGGGGGCGGCCAGAACGGCAAAGCAAAAACAAACAAAAAACCTGCGGCGCAGCCGGAGCGCAGGTGCAGGGGGACCAGCTGGGGGGGGGGGGGGGAATAAAGGCGGGAGAGAGAGAGAGAAGGGGGCTGCCAGGGCTACAGCAGGGACGCTGCCACGCAGCCCCTCCCGCTGCGCTGCCGCCTGCCACGAGGGCTCCGCTTCGGTCGGCGGGGAGGGAAGGAAGAGGACTGCCCTGCAGGGCGCTCTGGTTCTCCGCGCCACAGCCCCCTACAGGGCGGCCGGAGCGGAACAAACAAAAAAAACAAACCAAAAAAAAAAAAAAGCGATCATGCCGCCCTAGGATTGGGCAGAATGCCGCCTCGAACAATCTGCCGCCCCAAGCACCAGCTTGCTCAGCTGGTGCCTGGAGCCGGCCCTGCAGAGCACTCCAGAGCCTAGGATTACATTTCTGCCTCCAGACTATGCAAATGAATTTACACAGAACTGCACAAAACAAATTGTTTCTATAATAGAGTGCAAGTTATATATACTTGCTTGCAAAAAGAACAACTTATGGTACATCAATAGCTTTTCTCTACTGATGAGTGGACTACCAAATTCCAGAATCGCAGTCATAATCCAAAAAAATTAAGGAAATATATATGTTGATTTCTGCCTCACAAATTACTATTTCTCTTATTATAAATGTTCACTATGTCAAGAGACTGATATCCTTAACAAGAAACTAATACTTTGTAAAATGGACAGATTAGGACCTCTACTGGCAGTTGAGGTGAATTTCCTTGTGTATTTTATATTGTGTTTCAGAGTAGCAGCCGTGTTAGTCTGTAACCGCAAAAAGAACAGGAGTACTTGTGGCACCTTAGAGGCTAACAAATTTATTTGAGCATAAGCTTTCGTGGGCTACAGCCCTTATGCTCAAATAAATTTGTTAGTCTCTAAGGTGCCACAAGTACTCCTGTTCTTTATATTGCATTGTCACCCTTTTCTTTATCAAGGAAAATATACTGATGTTTACAAACACACACAGTATTGTGTAAACACTTTGGCTTTAGAGTTGTCTTTTTTTAAAGATTTAAAAAAAAATAATCTATATTTAACGCATGTATGTTTGTTAACACATGCATGTTAAGTAATATGCTTACAATTAATTCAGCCTTGCATAAATCAGAATCTATGCCTCGTAAATATGCATAGTTTGTAATTGTTAACATTTAACTTTAGTTACACAAAGTATTAGGTGTACTAGTCTTCTGATGCACTAAACTTACCTTTGTAGACATTTAAAGTTATAGTCCTGACAGCAATTCTGACCATGCTCTCTGGGTGGTTAAAAAATTTAATGGCCTCCGTATACAAGGCAAAATCATTAGTGTGCTGAAATAAAAATACAGCAGGCATTATATACTATCCTGTCAAACATTCAATACTTTCTTAGGATTTTGCATGAAAAAAAGTTACCCTACTAAGGTAACAAGGCAGAAAAAAAAAAATCTAATCTATCGCATAGTACTATAAATGCATGCAGATGTAGTCAAACAAAATCTGAATTTCAAACACCCATTAGTTTGCAGGTATATGAGTTTACTACAGGAAGCATGTATTAACTAAAGTTTCACACAACATATCTGTAATTTTTAAAGAGCTTTGATGCCCTCTTCTGGCAATAACTATTATGTGGATAGAGAGAAAAATAAGTCTAAGGTTGTGTGAAAAGATCACCTCTTAGACCTGCAACTGCACCAAAATAGGTGGGTCTTTTTGCCCACACTGATCCCCACTGACTTCATATGGGATCTGTCTGCATGGATTCAAATGCGGAATTAGGGCTTTAAGCTAACAGGCTTACAATTGAATAAAGTACTGTAGTAAATAGACAAAACTCTAGGGTCTATGAGTAAGCACTACATTTGAAACATCAGAATTCTGAATTAACTTAAGTTTGAAGTTATGTTGCACTTTATGCTGCAATACCAAGTTCTGTGAGCATTTATAATTCAAATATAGCAGTTGACTTAGACCAAATCATCAATATTTACTGACTAAAATCCATGAAGTAGTTTGTTTTAATATACATATGCAAAATGCCAATGACTGAAATTTCTGTAAATTTGGATATTTTTTGCACTTAAATTTGATTATATTAAATTCTTTTAAATGGAGATCTCACATGCAATATTTTAAAAAGCTTTTTAAATTTTTTGAAGCAGTGATTTAAAAAGCAAACTATTTTAGTTTGATGTTATTACAACAAAAAGGCAAGACACTGACAGAATCACTAAGAACATTAGCTTCTGCCATCCGTGTTGCAGTGTATTTATACTTAGGTAATGTCTACACTATGGGCACCACAGCTACAGCTTCAAAGCTAATGCAGCTGTAGTGCCGTAGTGTAGACTCACGCTACAGTAATAGAACTCCACCTTCCCAAGCGATGGCAGCTACGTTGACTGAAACATTGTTCAGTCAACCTAATCGTGCCTACACCAGAGGTTAGGTTGGCAAAGCTACTGCAATGACAGGTGTGGATTCCCCCCCCACGCCTTGAGCAGGGCCAGCTCCAGGCACCAGCTTGCCAAGCAGGTGCTTGGGGCGGCCACTCCGGAGAGGGGTGGCGCGTCCAGCTATTCAGCGGCAATTTGGCGGACGGTCCCTCACTCCCGCTCGGAGCGAGGGACCTCCTGCTGAATTGCCGCCGCAGATCGTGAACGCAGCCGCAGATCGCAAACGCGGCTTTTTTTTTTTTTTGCGCCGCTTGGGGCTGCAAAAACCCTGGAGCCGGCCCTGCCCTTGAGCACCATACCTGTTTAAGTGTAGACCAGGCCTTCATTTCAGAGGTTGTAGTATTTAATCAAGAAAGCTGGTTGTGGGCTGGGATTAGATGAGGTTATCCGCTACTGTTAATCAGTTTTGAACTACCAATGAATACTTTACTGTGTATTTGTGGACTTTGCTGAAAAACTGCACATTTTAAATCTCACCTTCACTATTTTTTTTTTTAAATAATACACACTAATAGCGTGCCAAGATATTATATGCTAATGCAGTTAACAGTGGGAATTTAGACTTTATTTTATTACAGAAATAAGACATTCCACTCTAATTATTGCCTGTGCAAACAGTATAAAGCTTATAACATCTGTTAATAATTTAATTAAGACCAGTATGAAGAGTGGGAAATATACGAGACAGACATTTCATAGCACAAAAACATTTCCCTACACACTTGCTACAACACACAAAACCTGATCCTGAGATTCTTACTCGGGCACATTGTTACTACAATATAAGTAATTTTAAACTGCAAGACAATGGGACAGGAGCAGTCCTCGGAAGAAGCTTCAGTTGAGATAGAGAAGTGCTAAGGCTCATGGATGAGAGGAGTCTGTCTGGGATCCACCAAAGTTTTGGCCTTAAACTCACTTCTGTATAGACTATAATTAGTAATACTTTTTACTGTAAATTCTTCCAGACACTTACCTCATTGTAAAAAAAGTGTACAGTGTGATTGTTGAGTTTCAGGGAAAGTGTTTTCAGAAATGAGATATAATATGCCATGATCTCCTCATCAGAAAAGTCAAATTTGTGGACAATGATAGAATTTACATAATTATTAGAGAGCAAATAATCTGAAATATAAAATCATATCACAAATCACCACAAAGGAAAATCATCATGAAGTAGGTTATATATAGGCTTCATAGAATTTAATATTTCTTTATAATTTTGATGGATAATATCAAGGTTTATTTTTGAATTTTTTTTTATCATTTTAAATGTTCATAGTTGTGAAAACATAAGTTAAGCATTTTTTTGTTTTTAATCGATTTAAATTTTCACACTTGCAGGAAATTATGGAGGATGGCGGGTAGGAATCAGACAATTTAATGACAGTAGACAGATTAAAAAGTTAAAGTTTCATAACCACTAAAACACCAATTGTCAACATCATGTGTCAAAACACATGAAGTAGATATCCTTAAATCAAACTCTAAGTTTTCAAGCAGCATTTTTCTTATTTTGCCTCCATAAATGTTGATCACCATCGATGGAAATGGGTTTTGTTTTGGGTGGGAGGGGGGTAACAGTAAAATCAATGTTTACCAACACTTAGCAATACAAATCTAATCCTTCCAAGTCTAAGTAAGTAAGTAAGTAAGTGTGTGTGTGTGTGTGTGTAAAATAACTGACAAAAGTATTTTGTAAGCGCAACCTAGCAGTAATCAAGTCTCCATTTGACAACTAAATACCCCTATTTTTAAGTTTAACAATGCAAATGGCTACTTCAATTAGCAGTAATATATAGAAGTCATCCTCATTAGCGTCTTGCAAAAGGCTTGGCTCCCAAAGATAGGATTATAATGAGAACAGAATACACTTGTCTGTATTATGTTTCTTCTGTAAGCATGCTGTAGCTAGTAATCAAATCGTAGACATTACAAATCAAGTATTTATTTAAAATAGCATTTTCCCCTCCATATTATTTACCCTCAAAAGCTTATGCCTGGACTCTCTCCTGGCCAATTTTGTTTCTCTTATTTAGCAACCATTTATTTGTTTCTCCCTTCATGTGTTTCTAGAGGACCTTAAAATTAACATGTTTTGTTTGGATGCCAACCACTCTGATCACAGAACAGCTACAGCAAAAGGCTTTGTTAGGGGGTGTATGCTTCCATTGCTAGTTCTGTGACAGTTAAGTACATACATTTGAGACCCTAATTAACCAGTGATTTTCTACGGTTGTTAGTTTTTAAATTCCTCATTTGAGTAGAAGATTTATAATCTAGAACATACTCAATACAATGTTCACATTTCTTATTTTGTGCCTAGGCTATTTTAAAGAACCCCTTTAAAAAGACCACATATTAAATCATTCCAAATTTTTTACTATTTGCTTTCAACAGTACAAACCAAAGGTTTTTGTACTAGTGAAAACTTATGATGAACCATTTTAGAGTGGAGTTGCATTGGAAATCCAATGCTGTTTAATTAAAAAATAAATTAATGATCTCACAGAGGTAGTTAGATGACCTGATTCCTAAAAATGTTCTTGTACGTTAGCTTTTAGAGTTAATAAAATGAAAAGAGCGATTACACGGTGTGCTGAAACTTCTATTTGTTTAATAATGAAAACTAAATGTTTAAAAAGGAATGCGTCCTTACAGAGTGATGTCTCGTGACTAATATTTTCAAAGAGGATGTTCAAGGTCTGCAGCAGCTGTACACATACATAACGACCAGATTTCTGACGCAGGATGTTCAAGAAGAAAACAAACATGTTCTTCTCTAAGAAAAAGCTAGAAGATAATGTAAAAGCATTACTGATTCACTCTTTTTTTTTTAAAAGATTAACCGTTGGTTTGACTGGAGAGCTTATTTTTTATAAGTTTGACAACTTTCAGATTGTATAGCTTTGTAATATTGCATTCATTTACCCACAAAGAGTGCCTCTCTGTCAAAGATTAAACTAACCAGGATATTTGAAGCCCATTCAAATTAATAAACAAAAGGGATAAAGATCTAAGGGCTAGTCAGATATGTTATGTCCAACTGAACAGAAAAGTAGGCTTCCTCACCCTACAAACTCATGAAAGCAGTTTTGTGGGAAAGGGTCTTTGACTGGAAATAGTTTACTGGAATTTCCTAGAGCTTTAAAAAAAAAAAAAATCATCACTAAAAGTGTCAGCTTGTCTTCTACTGTATTTTGTTGTCATTGAGGAGGGGGGAAAAATCAGAAAGAAAGGTCTATTATGACGTTTAGACTCGATACACCTAATAACGCTCTGTAGACCTTAAAAAGGGTTGCTATACCGTATTTGCTGCCAAAGCTTACCATGGCATATGAACATCAAAATGGTACAATGAAGCAGCTTTGAATTTGTCAGAATTTTTTAAAATAATGATTTATTGTTTCCTCTAACATAACCTCTCATCCTACTGAGGATTCATATGTTACCTTTCTAGTAATAGCAGTTATACATACACACACACCTTTGTAAAGCTGTCTTAAGAGCATCAACCATGTGCCATCATCTCTGTATGCAATTCCTCTTCCCCCTCTACAATGAAGTGTGTTTAGTAACTCTACCAAGAATAGTTTGTTCAAGTATAAATTAAGAAACATATTTAAAGTAACTGATGACTCTCACAGCAGAGAAGCTAACCTCTATGGACAGCTGAACAGGGTCGGATTAACTTTTTGTGGGCCCGGCGCCAAACATATTTGTGGGGCCCCCGTGAGGAATAATTGTAAAAGGGGCTGGGGGTAAAATCACAGTGGGGCAGGAGCTAGGGTTGGTCTCTGGAGCAAGGGAGGGGTCAGGGGTAAACTGCAAGCGCAGCAGGGCTGGGGAGGGGGTCAACAGGATCCCCCCCGCCCCTGCTCACATAGAGCAGGTACCTACCTGGTTCTAGCCCATTCTCTTGGTCTCTCTCTGCACTGAGCTGCCCCTCTTCCCACAGCAGCAGGACAGGTTCTCTTCCAGCCCTCTGGGGTGAGTGTTGGGAGTAGGAGGAGCGGAGGCTAATGTGGTTACTCCTATAACCGGAAATTTAGTTTCCAGTCACCACTGCTAACTGGACACCTAGGTCCCATTTTCTACTGGAGTTTCCAGTCTAAAACTGGATACCTGGCAACAGGGCTGCCAGAAAAGCCTGAGGGGGGGAGAGGGGCAAGCAGTCATTTTTAAAAGTAAGAGGGCTAAGCCTTAAGGGGGGGGGGCAAGTGGTGGGTGGACTAGGGAGTGAAGAGGAGCTAGTGGGCAAGGCCATGTCTGCTGTACTGCCCAGGTAGGTTGGAGACTGTGGGGGATCAGCTGACACAGCATCCAGGGCCGGTGCAAGGATATTTTGCACCCTACGCGAAATTTCCACCTTGCGCCGCGCCCCCGCCCCCCGGAGCATCACTTATTATAAATTTTCAAAAATGAATACAGTGAAGTCACATCTTATGCGGGGGTTAGGTTCTAAGGTCAGCGTGTAAGAGGAAAATCACGTATAGTGAAAATTACCATAAACTACAGTACACACAGTATACATAGTATACACGGTCTACACTAGAACAGGGGTCCTCAACCTACGGCACGCGTGCCAAAGGTGGCACACGAGCTTTTTTTTTTTTTTTTTTAAAATGGCAGGCTGTGGGTCCCGGCCACCACTGAGCCTGCTGCCGGCCTGGAGTTCCGTTCACTCAGCTACCAGCTGGGGTCCCAGCCGGCGACTCCGCTCAGCCTCCTGCCGTTCACCCAGGTCGGCAGGAAGCGGAGCAGGGCTGGCGGCTGAGACCCTGGCTGGCAAGGGGCCGGCAGCCAGAACCCCAGATCGTCAGCGGGCTGAGCAGGGCCGGCGGCCAGGACCCCAGACCAGCAGCGGGCTGAGCAGCTCAGCCCGCTGCCGGTCTGGGGTTCCGTCTGCTGGCTCCTGCCAGCCGGAGTCCCAGCCGCCGGATCCGCTCAGCCTGCTGCCAGGCTGGGTCCCAGCCACTGGATCTGCTCAGCCTCCTGGTGGCCTGGGTGAACGGAACCCCAGGCTGGCGGACAGAACCCTGGGTGAACGGTGTGACGTTGTGCAGTCTATATGGTTTTATAAAAACATGATAATAAGTGAATATAATGTAACTCGAATAGTTTTATAAAAACATGATAAGTGACTATAATGTAACTGGAATATGCTTCATGCAAAAGGTCTCTTGTAAGAAGATATCATTACAAATCTTATAATCTACTGAGTGTGATCATCCTATTTGTATAAATGTACCACTCTTGTATCTAAAACTAGAAATATGAAATATAACTCTGAGGGCCTATTGTAATTATGCAAAGTGTGGACCATTAATGGTGGTTTGGAATCTTGATGACTCCCATTAACCAGGACCATTGTCTGCAGATGGCTGTGTTTACCTGAGAGTCTTCCTGTATGTGTGTGCTGGCAAGTGGGTAATGAAGTCTTGCAGTGACATGTGATCATGTCACTTGAACTGGAATCCATCTTTAACCTGGTGCTTTTCCAGTGGGGGGGGGGGGGGGAAACCCAGAGGGACAAAGGGTTCCCACCTTATGCAAAAGATATATAAAGGGGTGGAACAGAACAAAGAGGGGAGAGAAGAGCCATCATGAAGAATCCCCTAGCTACCACCTGAGCTGGAACAAGAGCTGTACCAGGGGAAAGAATTGCGCCCAGGCCTGGAAGGTGTCCAGTCTGAGAAAAAACTTACTGAAGCATCTCTGAGGGTGAGATTATCTGTATTCAGTTTGATTAGACATAGATTTGCACATTTTATTTTATTTTGCTTGGTGACTTACTTTGTTCTGTCTGTTACTACTTGGAACCACTTAAATCCTACTTTCTGTATTTAATAAAATCACTTTTTACTTATTAATTAACTCAGAGTATGTATCAATACATGGGGGAGCAAACAACTGTGCATATCTCTCTATCAGTGTTATAGAGGGCGAACAATTTATGAGTTTACCCTGCATAAGCTTTATACAGGGTAAAATCGATTTATTTGGGTTTAGACCCCATTGGGAGTTGGGCATCTGAGTGTTAAAGACAAGCACACTTCTGTGAGCTGTTTTCAGGTAAACCTGCAGCTTTGGGGCAAGTAATTCAGACCCTGGGTCTGTGTTGGAGCAGATGGGAGTGTCTGGCTCTGCAAGACAGGGTGCTGGAGTCCTGAGCTGGCAGGGAAAACAGGAGCAGGGGTAGTCTTGGTACATCAGGTGGCAGCTCTCAAGGGGGTTTCTGTGATCCAACCCGTCACAAACGGAACCCCAGGCCATTCACCCAGGCCGGCAGGAGGCTGAGCAGAGCTGGCTGGGACCCCAGCAGGCTGAGCGGGGCTGGCAGCTGGGACCCCGGCTGGCAGGAACCGGCCCACTGCTGGCCCTGCTCAGCCCGCTGCCAGCTGAGTGAACAGAACCCTAGGTCGGCAGCAGGCTCAGCGGCAGCCGGGACCCGCAGCCTGCCATATAAAAAAAAAAAAAATATATCAGCTTGCGTGCCACCTTTGGCATGCATGCCGTAGGTTGAGGATCCCTGTTCTAGTGTATACTGTACTTTATGGTAATTTTCACTATACGCGATTTTCCTCTTACACGGTGACTTTAGAACCTAACCCCCATGTAAGATGCGACTCCACTGTAGTGTAAAAAAAATTTTGGGCACCGCTTTTTGGCACCCCCAAATCTTGGCGCCCTAGGCGGTCGCCTAGTTCACCTAGTGGTTACACCAGCCCTGACAGTATCCCCAGCCCAGGTAACGTGACAGCCAGTGGTGGATTTAGAGTTAGTGGGGCCCCCCAGCCCTGTGCTCAGCTTCATTTTTGGGGCTCCTCCTTGGGACCAGACAAGAAAAAGAACATTCTCTCTTATCTCCCTCTGCCCCCGTTTTTCATTCTTTTTTTCATCCTCCTCCTCCCATAAGTAATAGCAAGTAAATGAAAATAAAGTGAGGTACCTTGATTGTTCTTGTGGTCTAACTTATTTTTCCACAGACCACTTGAAAAATCATGGAGGGTCTCGACGGACCACTTAATGATCTTTCCAAATATTGTAAAAAAATGTTCGAGTACGGGGTGCAGGGGTCAGGGCTGGGGAGGTGTGAGCGGGTGAGAGGGGGGTGCAGAGGGCTGGAGAGGTGTGAGAGGGATGCAGGAATCAGGGCAGGGGGCTAGGGAGGTGTGGGGGGTGCAGGGGTCAGGGCAGTGCAGGGTCAGGGCAGGGGGCTGGGAGTGTGTGAGGGGGTGCTGAGGAGGTGTGAGGGGAGTGCAGGGTCAGGGGGTGGTGTAGGGGGTGCAGGAGTCAGGGCAAGGACTGGGAGTGTGTGAGGGGGTGCAGGAGTCAGGGGGCTGGGGAGATGTGAGGGGAGTGAAGGGGTCAGGACTGAGGGCTGGATGTGTGTGAGGTAGTGCAGGGGGCTGGGTGTGTGGGGGGGGTGCAGGGGACTGGGGGGTGCAGGGGTTAGGGTGGGCAGGAGGTCGGGGTCGTGGGGGTGCTCACGCAGGGGGCTGGAGGTGGTATGCCCCAATTCCAGCCCCTTCCCCAAGGCCTCACCCCCGCCTCTTTTCCTCCTCCTCTCCGGAGCGGCGTGCTGCGGCTCCCTCCTCCCTGCTCCTGCTGGCAAGGCTGATCCAGCTGATCGGCGGCAGGTGGGGGGGGTGGGGAGGAGGAACGTAGCACGCTGGGGAAAGAGGCAGGGGAGAGGCCCCACCCCCGCCGCCTCTTCTTCTCCTCCTCCTCCCCAGAGCGGCATGCTGCGGCTCCCCCCTCCCACCGACAAGGCTGATCCAGCTGATTGGCGGCAGGCGGGGGGAGGGGGGGAGGAGGGAACGGAGCACGCTGGGGAAAGGGGCGGGGCAGGAGCCAGGCTGCCGGCAGAGGCTGCCACAGAGCCCCAGCAGCGGCAGAGTCAAGCTTCTCTGACCCCACAGGAGAGAGTGGGGGGCAGAGAAGAGCGTGCCGGGGCCCCTTTCGACCGTGGGCCCGGCGCCATGGTGCCATTGTAAATCCGGTATTGCAGTTGAATTATAGCTAGCGCACATTTGGTAGGAACCATAGTGCAAGCTTCACAATTCATCTCAGATAATATTCCATCTACAAATGCCAATCCCTCCCATATCAGCTGATCAACAATTTTGATTTAATTTGTTAGTAATTTTTTTTTTTTAAAACAGTGAAAATGTAAAGCACTTACTCAAACACGGAGCTGTCATTCTGATCTCCCCATATAAGGATTTCAGTTATAGAACGAATAGTCTCCACTAACAGATTGCGGTTGTGATCCGTTACTGTGGTATTTTTGGTCAAAACATGATACATATACCTAAAAAAGGAGAAACATGTAATTAGTTACTATTGCTGTGTTTAACAATGTTGGGCTGTGATTTTCACAATCATTTTCAAATGTTCTTTACTAACCTATTTTCCCACCATTACTACTATATCCCAGGAAAGAAACCTGATTTTTTTTCTTCGATGTAATTGCTTCTGTTTATTTTAAAAATGACATTAGAGGTAGGGTGGAGCAATGAATAAGCAACAGCGAGAGGCAAACTAACTTCCTAGAATGATGACAAATGCCATTTACATAATAAAAAGGATTATTAAAACAATGTGATTATGTTGACTATTTACCCTCTATATTTGTTTTTGTAATTTGTTGGGTTTCTTAAGTGGGTACGAATAGCATGGGAAAAGGGAGAGAAGAGAAAGCGAAGTGGGTAAATATAGTTACGGAGTGTAAGGAGAGTGTAAATACCCCTGTAAGGTTAATTCTAGAAGGTTGCATGTAGAGTTAGTTGAAATACATACTGCATCGTTACAGCCATGGAATTGCTACATGGAATGCATCTTTGTTTGAATTCTTAATTGTTGATGCCAGTCAGGGAGGTCTTGAATCCACCTGGGGTGGAGCTGAGTTACCCAGACTTGGACCATCTGTATTTAAACACTACTTTGAGAGGAGGTTGGTCCAAGGCTCAGTCTGAACCGAAGAGCTAGATTTTATGGCTGAAAACTCCAAATGTCTTAACTAGGACAGATAGGAAACAACATGAGTGCCTGTACACAGCTGTAGTACCAATCTCATTTTACTTGGGTAAATACGTGAAAATAGAAGAAAAGCACAACATAAGTTATAATAGGGAAATTATGTTTGGAAGCCTGATAAACATTTTGTAGTAATAAAAGAGTTAAGTCACATTTTTTTTAGACTTGTAAGTATATTTACACACCTTTAAGTGCCATAGTTATGTTGACTGAACTCTTAAGTGTAGACCAGGCCCTAGCCCTGTCTCAAAGAGGACTAGAGCAAACTCCATTTATAAACTGTTAATGTATATCAGCAGGGTCCATACAAACAGTTAGCTCTTGGAATACTAGTGCAAGGTAGAAACATACCCCAAGCTTGCCAAGAACTAAAATGTTCATTTAGACAAGGAGACCCACATGTAATACTCTAGCTCAGGGATCGGCAACCTTAAACCAGCCCGGCCCGCCAGGGTGCTTACCCTGGCGAGCCGCGTGCCAGTTTACCTGCCACATCCGCAGGTTCGGCCAACCGCGGCTCCCCGCTCCAAGCCAATGGGGGCGGCAGGAAGCGGCAGCTAGCACATCCCTCGGCCCGCGCCGCTTCCCATGGCCCCCATTGGCCTGGAGCGGCGAACTGCAGCCAGTGGGAGCCATGATCGGCCAAGTCTGCGGACGGAGTAGGTAAACAAATCGGCCCGGCCTGCCAGGGTGCTTACCCTGGTGGGCCACGTGCCAAAGGTTGCCGATCCCTGCTCTAGCTCACATATGATCCTACCCTGATCTTTCTACTTCCAACTATCTTGCAGGAAAACAGCATATTTTATGCTGAATCACCCTCACATTGTGAGCTGTGTCTACACTAGGAAATTTAAACACTGCTGAAAATGGGTGTGTATTTTAAATGATGCAGGACATTGTCTAACTACTAGTATAGACCAGAACAAACTGTTCAGCACAGGGTCCAAGAGTTTCAAAATATGCCCAGCTCCAAAAGCCCTTCCAAACTACAACTGTCAAGTCATGATAAGAAAAGGAAAGTTTGAAAGTAGTTAATATATTTTTCAGCTAAATTACAGTGGGAGGAATTCTCTTCAACCTCAGTTCTGTTGTATACCATTTAAAATCAATTACGTTGTCTGTTATTAGGACACAGCTTTACAAGATTCAGTCTGTCCTCCCAGGTAAGTACTTGCAGAGAATCCAAATGAGGAAAACTGAAATTTAGTATGATCCAATGTTAAAATATACATATTTACTCAGTTAACCATGTTTATTATAGCATGCCTAAGGACCGTCCCCAAGATTGGATGCCATTACGCTGGGCACAGTAATAAACAGTCCCTGCCCCTAAAAGCTTACAGTCTAAATAGACAAGGCCCAGACAGAGTAGGAGAAGGGGTGTTACAAGCAGAGAGAACAGTGTGATGGTAGCAAATGTTAGTTCCCCTTGGAGGTAGGAGGGGGGAAGAGAGAGGGTTAGTTCAGAGGTAACTATCAACTGTGCAATATTTTACATACACCTCTACCTTGATAGAACGCTGTCCTCGGGAGCCAAAAAAAAAATCTTACCTTGTTATAGGTGAAACCGCGTTATATCCAACTTGCTTTGATCCACCGGAGTGCGAAGCCCCGCCCCCCCAGAGCACTGCTTTACTGCATTATATCCGAATTCTTGTTATATCGGGTCGCGTTATATCGGGGTAGAGGTGTATATTCAGCCCTGTTTATTTGAAGTAACCGTGAACCTGAACTATCACATGTACAGAGAAATGAATCTGTGTAAGTGGCTGCATTTATTAGAAATGAACTAAATTACATTTCAGAAGATTTTTGGGGGGAGGGGGAGAATAAGTCCAATAATGCAATGCTGGTCAAAGTAAACAGTAGAAGCAGTTGTAAGAGATTACTCAACTTTGCCCCCAAGACACTATACATTGCAAAGCATTTCTGAGCTGTTTCTCAAAGGGTTACCAAAAAACAAATTTTGTTTAGTACACAATGTGACAAATTGCAAAAACTAAATTTGAAGACATTTTAACATGATGCCATTGGGAATAGGGCTTTATATTCCTGGAAACTGATTACAGGTTTCCCAGTTGTTTGCCTGGTGAATTGTACTGGAAAACTCCTTGTTGCTTAATTTTATACTTATTCTTTTGGTAACCTAAGTGATGACAAGGTGAGGGCCTTAGAACTTACATTTCCATAGCTACTTCTTTAAGGGGTATGAAAAATCCACACTCCCGAGAGACATAGCTATGCTGACCTAACCTCTCTAACCTTCTGCTGACCTCGCTACCACCTCAGGGAGGTGGATTACCCACACTAATGGGAGAACCCCTCCTGCCCCACTGTAGCGGTTCAAGTGTAGACATAACATAAGTCTGAGTGCATTTACTTGGGCTTCAATGTCATTGCTATTGTAATTAATTCTCCTGGTCTGTGAAGGGGCAGGTACCTTTGTGGAAAGAAAACAGTGTTTCTAGGTCTCAAGGCCAAAATTTACACTTATGATTAGATCTGCACAAGAATAGGATCAAGGACTAATTAAATATTCCCTAACAAAAACTATGCTAAAGCTCAGTGTTACGTTTCATTAACTTAAAGGTAAAAAACACGCAGGGATGTTGTGCAGATTAATTTTAATATCATATAATACTACATACAAGAAAACTACTTTAAGAGAACATTATGGTTGCAATGTCAAACACTGAAAAGTTAGGAAATGCTGAATTAAAGTTGCCCATACAGCCTTAATTCAGACACATTGTGTGTATTCATTATGATATGGTCTTTAATTACATGATCACATACTGTTTTTACTACACGCAGGACCCCAACCTCATTCAGTGCATAGGAGGGGTGGTGCTCAGGGAATTAATTAGGTCTGAAGGACAAAAGGCTGATTCATATTAGTTTGTGAATACTATTTGTCACCAGGTCATGTGAAATGTTTATGTATGTCTATACATCAGAATATGTACTATATGTACAGGTGGTTTAGTTTACTAGCAGGGATGTTAGGAAGCAAGCAGGAAGGTAATACAATGCATCCAGAAAAACACCACCAAGCACACACTCAGGAAGTTAAGAAACAATACCTGAACTATTAGCTGTGATTACACTAATTCCATGTTCCAACAAAAACTACACAGCTGTTTTGCTAAGGCTGGAGACTAAGATAAAAAGACACTAAACAGTTAAAAGGCCTTGCAAGAGAGGGGACAGTTGTCAGTGAGCTGGCCGGAAAGAACAGGCTGAGAGAGACAAGCCCTATGGAGGAGATTTGAAGCAACTGGGCCTCCCTAAGCTTCCGGGGGATGGCAAGCTTAAGTAAGATAATTATGCATGAAGATAGTTTATTGTGTTACAAACCTCTTATGCTTTATTATTCCTACTGTTAAGATTAAACAAAACTTTGTTTTAAGAAAGCTGTCTGATCACAGCTGCTGAAGGCAAGAATTGTAGGTGCTGAAGCCAGTCGGGTCTACCAAATAGTCATGGTTGGTAAGTGGCAGGCTGCAGCCCAGATATGGGGTCTAAAAGGGATAATCGCAGGATACCACCTGAGGATAAATGAAGGCAAGAGGCCTAAAAACGGAGAGTGCATTCAGACCAGAGGGGTGAAAGGTGCAGGTCGCCCTGGAACAGAAGCATCAAGGCTGTGCTGTGCAAGTGGCTGTTATCTGTAGGACTCAATTGTTTCAGAAGTTAGACAGTGTGTAGGGAACGAAGCAGGGGGCTGCAAGATGTGAAAGGATGGTCTCATGGTTTAGGCCAGCGGTGGGCAAACTTTTTGGCCCAGGGGCCACATTGGGGTTGCAAAAGTATATGGCAGGCCGGGTAGGGAAGACTGTGCCTCCCCAAACAGCCTGGCTCCCGCCTCCTATCCGCCCCCTCCCACTTCCCACCCCCCTGACTGTCCCCCTCAGAACTCCCGACCCATCCAATCACCCCCCCTGCTCCTTGTCCCCTAACTGCCCCCTCCCGGGACCCCCGCACCCGTAACCACCCCTCGGGGCCCCACCCCCTATCCAACCCCCCTGATCCCAATCCCCTGACTGCCCCAACCCCTATCCACACTCCCGGCCCATGACAGGCTCCCCGGATCCCCACGCCTATCCAACTGCCGCTATTTCCTGACCCCTATCCACACTCCCGCCCCCTGAGACTCCCACGCTTATCCAAACCCTCCTCCATGTTCCCGATCCCCTGACCGCCCCCCAGAACCTCCGCTCCATCCAGCCGCCCCCTGCTCCCTGTCCCCTGACTGCCCCCCGAGACCCCCTACCC